GGGATCAGCGGGCCCACCGCTCCGAGACGCCCGCCACGACCGGGGCCGATCAAGGCTGGCAGCCGTGGCCACTCCACAATGTTGCCTACTAGCTCGAATCCAACGCCGCGGCGAATCAGGATACCCCCCCCTCGTCGCCAACAGTCGCGAGGCCCGGGCCTCAGGCTGGGACCGGCCGAGCGGCGGCCCATCAGTGCGCCGCCGTCACCATGCTTCATGTTTGATCAGTTTTGCTTCGTTGTAGACAGGAGGCCGCGCCAGCTGCCTCATTCCAACTCCGCATCTCGGCATTACCCTCGCACCAAAATGCGCGCGCCCACCGATGCTCACCGGCAAACCCGCCGCAGTTGGTAGCAGAAGGTACTTATTCATTTCCGCATTCGACGGCAATACCTTGCGCGGGCGACTAGCCGCGCTGCGCGGCACGCGGCGAGAGCAACGATGGCAGCTATGCTGCGCCGCGGGTCCCGATGGGTTTTCTCACCCACAATGCTACGATATCCGACGCATTCAGCGGGCCCCATGCGGGGCATTCTCGCCCGCGGGAGACGACACCGGGCCCCCGCGGGGCTTGCTCACCCACAAGCATCACAACATGAGGGCCTCGCAGAATTCCAACCTCCCCTCCCTCCCGTCTCCTCTTCTCGCAGCCCCGCCGCTCCTGATTTCCCGCGCAAGCCTCCCGCCTTCCTCTTGCGGCGGCGGCGCGAGGTGGGCGCGGCGGCAGGGGCGGGAACGCGGGCGCCGACGGTGGTCGCGGCAAGGGCCGCCGCTGCCGCGGGGCACAGCCAGCGCGGCCCCTTTGTCACTGTCGCGGCGACGCAGCGCCCATGTTCCCCAGCGGCGTTGCTGCTTGGAGAGCCACGTGCGGAACGTAGCTGTGATTTCGGGTCGCCTGCCCATTGCCGGGCGGCGGCGATCACGCGAGGAGCGGGCGCGCGCCGACATAGCCGCGCTGCCGCCGTTGAAGAGCATGTCGTTCCCCCGTGCGCGCGCGCTGGAAATCCCCCCTGCCCCCCCCGCTTCTGCGATCTGGGTCACTCCAGTCGCGGGGATGGGGGGCGCCTCGGGGGGTTTTCTATGCGCGAGGGTTTTTCCCACGGCGAGAGTGGGCAGCCGCCAATTCCGGGCGAGCGTGGCACCGCGCCGCCATCGGGTAAGCGCAAACTTCCGTCGCGTTCGGTGGAAACCACCCAGTCGGCCCCGAGGACAACGCGGTGGGAACCATTCGCCTGCTTGCTGTCGGGGGATCCCGCCGTTGGCGTCGGGGGCGCTTGTGGGGGATTCCTAGAAGCAGACGGAAAAAGGTCCTTGCGCCTTCTATCTAGGCGTGTGGGGGTAGGGCACGCCGCCGCCCACTATCGCCGCTGCGTTTGTCACCCACACGCATTTTTTTTCCTCATCTCTTCTATCCCCCCTTCACCTGTCCCACCTCGGCGGTTAAGCCACCCCTTTTTGCAGCGCCACGTGTTCGCTGCAATCGCTTTCTCACGTCGCCTCTTTGTTCAGCCTTACGTCCGTGCAGCCACGCAGCCGCCGCGTAGGCCACGCAGCCGCCACCTTGGGGATGGGATGTTGCGGGGATTGATCAGTAACTTCATCTCACCCCTCCCACATTGGTGGTCGAACCACATCCATTGCAGCAGCACGCGGCAGACGCAAGCGCTCTTACGCAACACTTCCTGGGCAGTCGCCATCTTGATGGAGGGGTGGGGAGGAGGCTAAGGACGGGGCCGACCACATGCGCCGCAACGTTCTCGTTCGGGGGCCGCCGGCATGGCAATCGCGGAGATTAGCCACGCTACACAGCCCCGCCGTCTGGCGGGCGTGGCCCGGCACGATCGCCTAGGGGGTCCAGTCACGCTGGCGCCCATGTCGTGTCTTCCAGCGCTGCCAGCGGCAGACGTCCTACTCCTCCTCCCTTTCACCCCCTGTCCTTCGGTTTGTCTGTCACTGTTACCTGTCTTTGCACATGCTATTCACCACTGTGTGACCCTTGGAGCGGTGCTCCAAAGGTCGCCTGGGTTTAGTTTGATAACTCCCCAGGGCCGACCAGGCCTGGGGGGCGGCAGGATTTTTCACGCCATCCGGAATCAAGAATCAGGAGGAGGAGGAGGAGAAGGAGGAGGAGGAGGAGGGGAGGGGGAGAAGGAGGAGGAGGAGGAGGAGGAGGAGGAGGAGGAGGATAGGGAGGAGGAGGAGGAGGAGGAGGAGGAGAGGAGGAGGAGGAGGAGAGAGGAGGAGGAGGAGGAGGAGAGGGACTCCTCCTTTTTTTTTCCTTTCAAGTCCTCACCAGTCCTTTCCTGCGTTTCCTCCTTCCCCGTTCCCCCAAGTACCCTCACCCGAGGAGGATACAGGAGGGGAAGTGGAAAAGGAGGAGGAGGAAAAACATACGGGTTGTGAAGTGAATTTGGTAAGTTGCGTTCCCCATTTTCTCAGCGTGACCCCCTCTCCAGCACCAGTGTTCCACTGATGCGCTCGCCGTCCCGTGGTAGTTGCTGTCACCTTCATTTCCGGCACTGACCCCTGGAGATCGTCAGTCATGACCCATCGGTATCATGGCACGGACTGTCCAATAGCCTTTTTCACGAGCCTTGTAGGGCCAGCGGGGGGCCGAAAAAACATAACGAAAAGGGGAGAGCACACGCCCGCGTTGCAGTGTTAGGTCTTCGACCGAGCACCTTTCGCCTTCGATGTCGCCATGCTGGCATACCCATGCCACCATGAAGCAGCGAGTTCTCGAGGGAAAGGGTTCCTGGGACTTTTCGCAGCTGGCGGCCTCCAGGATCCACCCAGTTCCTTCATGGCAAGCTGGAGAGACCCATGTGGCCCAGGCTGGGCGAAGAACCATCCCCTTCCGTGTGTGGAGGAAACGAGAAACATGGGCACCTCACCCTAAACATCTTGGAAGCGGGGCCTGAGTGTGGTAATTCCCTTTGGCCACCCCTCTCACGGTCTGGTGTGCCACGAGCCTCGGTTGCTCTGCTGGGCCTGCGGCTGTCGTCACAGTCTGCATGTCGGGAGAGGGGCAGCTTGGGGATTTGCAGGGCCTCTCGCTGGCACCCCGCCGAAATCGGCCCGTGGGTTCTGGCAAAGGCTTGCGAATGGTTTCTCGAGGGGGGACCAGAGCAAACCAAATGTGTATCAGCGATGCCGCAACGCCGCCACCTGTCCTCAAGGGTCCCAGCAAGCATCCTTTTTCACTGCGCGAAGCGTCCCCATTGAATGCCGAGCGCCCCATGGGCCGGCAACACAAGCGGGAGTTCCCTTCGGGAGCCTTGAGACGGGGGTCAATGCAAACGGGGGTCAGCCAGGGCACCGAATCCTGCAGGATCCGGCGAAGACCCCTTCTGGCTGACCCGGGTTAGCGAGCCGCTCGTGGCCGCGAGGCGGCCGCGCATATTGGCTGACCCAGGTTTGCGAAGCCCTGCGTTTTCCTGCATTGCAGTTTTTTAGTTTCCTGCTGACCCGGGTCTGATTGACCGGGGTTAGCAGATCCCCGATCCCTTTGAAACACATTGGCATCCATCCTTCGAGCTATAAGGAATGCGACGAGGTGGGGCCATCAAGTTCAAGTGGGTGCCCAGCGACAACCCCACCTTGGCAAGGAACCGCCCTCCATCCTTGCAATTGTTACACAAAAGCAGGCTTGGTACGGCAGGTTTGTGCGGCGTTGGCGCGTTGGCGGCGCCAGCGAAGGCGTTCAAGGTTGAATGCTGCGACGCGGAAGCACCGATGGACACGGTAACGCCATTGGTCCCGACTGAATTCAATCTTGAACGATCGGGGCCGCGATCGATTCAAGGTTGAACGATCGACGCGGTATCAAAATCCTCTGCGCGCGCCGACGCTGCACGAACCTACCGTAATCAGACCTATCCACTTTGGCACACACTCTCCCTCCATCCTTATACATGTTTGTAACTTGATATACGCGTGGTACTACATGTAGAGGAAGTCTCCGGCGAGACCACAATTCGTGCAGCTGTCGGATTGTTTCAGACGAGCGTGGTCGGCGCCAGGGCACGATCCCCATTGCGAAGGCCTTACGGTCGGTGCCGCCGACCCTGAAGGGGGACGACGACGGTGACGACGCTGACGTGGGTCAGAGTCCTCAGGGATGCTTCTTGGGGAGTCGGAGCGTTCTCGGGGGCCTCTGAGAGACAGTTTTGGAGCTTGAGAGCAACTTGGGGGCCTCACGGGAGCCTCTTGGGGCCTCTTTGGACTTCTCGGGGGCCGTTCCGGGGGCCCTTTAGGCCGTCTTGGGGCGATCTTGGGTGCATCTTGGGCCGTTTTGGAGCGTCGGGAAGCCGAAAAGGCGAGAGCGTCAAATCCTGTCAAAGAACCAAAGGGATATCAATGAAGTTTGTCTCGTGGGGTCTTGGTGGGAGTGCTCTTGGAGGCCTCTTGGGGCGTGCGTATTGGAAGTCTCTTGGGCTGTCTGGAGGTTTTCTTGGGCGTCTTGGACCGATCGTTCGGCGATTCGGGGCCCTCTAGGGCCGTCTTGGCGGCCTCTTTTCGGTACTTGGCCCGCCTTGGTGCTTTTTGACCCAGAGGGGATGGCGGTGAAGCTCCCCCACGGGAACACCCCCCCAGCCCGCAGGGAAGGGACCAAGAGGAAGGGGCTTCCCTTCGACTTTCCTACGGCGTTATCAAATTCCTTGTTTCTTAATTCCTTTGGGCTGACGACGAAGACGACGTTGACGACGACGACGACGACGACTCAAATGGAAAAGCGTCTCCCACACGCCGAAGGGCTGGCGGATTTTTGAAAACACTTCACCCACCCATCCGTGCGCCTAATGGAAATTGCAAGCTCCAAGATCGTAATCGATGGGGATTCCTCAGGCGAAACGCCCGGCCCGTCCCAACGACACGTCTGGTTGTGCGGCATGGAGGAGTTGTTTATGTTGAAGAGGGATGGAGCAGCAGCAGCAGCAGCAGCAGCAGCAGCAGCAGCAGCAAGCGGGCCGCGCCCGCCTCGGCCCTGGCCCGCCCAGGAGTTGGGCATCCCGCCCGACGAGGATTGTTGGGCCGCGGCCATCGGTTCCTGCGCGCGCCTCTGTCGGCTTGCCGGCCCCCGTCCTCCCAGCTGCGCGCTCCTCCTTCGTCTTCTTCCTTCGGTCCTTTGTAGGGGTGGTGGCAATCGGTCCTCTCCCACTCTTCCCTACCTCTCTCTGCCTGCGCGGCGGCCCGACAGACAGTGCTTCAAGGGGGGGAGACGGAGGAGGCAATTTCTAAGTTTTGGCACGTTTTTGGAGGATCCCAGGAGTTTTCGGGCGTTGGGTGTGTTCTCCTTCCGCTGCGCCTCGTCGAGGGCCGTCCAGGGAGCCCAGAGTCTTCCCGAACGGCCGCCCGAGGCCCGACTTATGGAGCGAAAGCCGAGGGGCGGAGCGGGATGGGACGAAGCAAGACATCTGTTGAGTTCTGTGGGTCTGTGGGGATCGGGGGGGGGGATCCGCGTGGCCACGGCTAGAGGCAGCTCGAAGGCCAGGGTGGTGTTTCGGAGGGCTCCGGGGCCCGATTTTGAACGAAAGCGTGAGGGAGTCTCGACGCCCGTGTGCGCCTTCTGAACGGGAGCCGACATCGATGCCAGGGTTTAGGCCAGAAGTTGGGAATGTGGAGGTTCGGGGGTGGTGGATGCTTCTCCTCCTCTCGTGTTCCCCTCCCGCCTTCCTCCCCGCGTTCCTCCCGTGGGAGCTGCCTGCAGCCGGTGACCTTTCCATGCTCTTGTTCCGGGACTGACGTAACGGGGCTCAGCGCCAACGGGGGTCAGGAGGGAAAAAAACACAGACACAATTCATCGTCGATTCCCAGGAAAATGTGCGAACATATGGGAAGTGTGGGAGGGGGGACAACGAAAATCCCAAAAATATAGAAACATATAGGGAATTCTGGGATTTGCGTGTATCTATTTGTGTGTCCCTGGGCCCCTTCAGTCAGCCGGTGCCCTCTGGCTGGCCCGGGTTGACCCAGCAAGTGCGTCCCCGATATATTCATGAATCATGCTCTGTCCAGCTCTGCTGCAGGCCCAACGACATGATACGTAGCTAGAACTCCGACTCGAAATCTAGGTCCAGATTCAATTATTTGTTCTAGTCTGACACTAACTCTGACTATTACTTGTGCTACGGCCCTGGCTCGCCATGAGGGAAAAGGGGTCCTGAAGGAAACATGTCCTATTGCGAAGGCCTTACGGCCGGTGCCGCCGACCCTGAAGACGACGACGCTGACCACGACGAGGTAGAAGGAGGACGAATGTGGGGGAGGAAGAGGAGGAGGAGGAGGAGGAGCAGGAGCAGGAGGAGGAGGAGGAGGAGGAGGAGGAGGAGGCGGAGGAGTCGGAAGACATCGTCCGGGAGGTGGATGAGGTGAAGAAAGAGAAGGAGGAGGAGGAGGAGGAGTAGGAGGGAAAACCCGGACTTTCAAAACCGAAACGACTCCGAAGCAGCTTCCAAAACAGTTTCGGAAACAGCTTCCGAAACCGCCTCCTAAAGATATTCCGAAACCGCTCCGAAACATTTCCGAAACAGTTCCGAAACGGCATCCGAAACGGCTTCCAAACAGCCTCCGAAGCGGTCCCGAAATAGTTCCAAAACGGCTCCGAAACAATTTCCGAAACAGCCTCCGAGACAGCATCCGAAACAGCTTCCGAAATAGCCTCCGAAAGACATTACGAAATTGCTCCGAAACGGCTTCCGAAACAGTTTCCGAGGCTACCAAACCGAACCGAGGAGGAGGAGGAGGAGGGAGGAGGAGGAGGAGGAGGAGGAGGGAGGGGGTTTGAATCCGAAAACCCGGACTTTCGAAAGTCCGGGTTTCAATTTTTTGTTTTCCGGGTCTACCCCTCCTCCTCCTCCTCCTCCTCCTCCTCCTCCTCCTCCTCCTCGGTTCGGTTTGGTAGCCTCGGAAACTGTTTCGGAAGCCGTTTCGGAGCAATTTCGTAATGTCTTTCGGAGGCTATTTCGGAAGCTGTTTCGGATGCTGTCTCGGAGGCTGTTTCGGAAATTGTTTCGGAGCCGTTTTGGAACTATTTCGGGACCGCTTCGGAGGCTGTTTGGAAGCCGTTTCGGATGCTGTTTCGGAGCTGTTTCGGAACTGTTTCGGAAATGTTTCGGAGCGGTTTCGGAATATCTTTAGGAGGCGGTTTCGGAAGCTGTTTCCGAAGCTGTTTTGGAAGCTGCTTCGGAGTCGTTTCGGTTTGGGGCCTATTGGGGGCCTCTTGGCGGGTCGTTTGGGGCGTTTGGGGACCTCTTGGGGGCTTCGTGGGTCGTTTTGAAGCCTCTTGAGGGCCTGGAGAGAAAAGGAGGGGAGGAGAGAAAAGGAGGAGAGGAGATTGTGGTTTTGTCTGCTGTGGTTTGACGTGGATTTGCTGTGACTTTGTTGTGGTTTCCTGTCGTTTCCTGTGGTTTTGCTGTGGTTCTACTGTGTCGTAGGCGTCGTCGTCGGCGTCGTCCTCATCGGCGTCGTCGGCTTCGGCGTCGTCGGCGCCGCACTACT